TATAGTGGTGGTCCGTTACATCGAGAATCACTGTGTATTAGTGTAGATGTATTAGAAACAACATATATATTCTGTATTACAAAGTATGATATTATATTACCATATCAATTCGATAACGAACCGATGATTTTGGAAAAAGTTCATATAAAATTACAATACATTAATTGAAAAATATATGCTTTCTTGAGCCCAATAATGAATCAATATCATATCTAAAATTTATGATTCATTATGTATAAGGCTCGTGAGAGTTGCTGCGTATTATCCATAATTTAGAACAATTAAACAATTTCTCATCAAGATATCAAAAAATAAATTATTCTGCTTTTTCTACATTATTTATTGGTAATGATATTATGAAATCCGAATCATTGGTTAACAACCGATACCCTCCTATTGGAATATCCTTTTGTCTTCTATAGATTATATTCCATAATATAGGCGTAATCATTAGAGTTAGAGAAGTTACCGCTAAAATTACATAGTATACCTCCCTCGATATAATTTCAAGACTTTTGGCACGACTGGAGAGGATAAAAACGTATTCACTTATCTGAGACAGTCCAATAGCCATTGTGGTGGCACGCTCAAAAGTGTGCCTAAATACCATTAAAGTTACACTACAAGTAACGAATTTAATTCCTATTGCACAGATTGTTAGAATAAATAACAATGTTCCTTCATTAATAAAGAAGCTCGGATATACATGAAGCCCAATGCTTGAGAAAAAAAGACATGAAAATATGTCTTTGACTGGTTCTACAAGCGTGATAGAAGATTCGGCTATGGATTTATGGTTGCTGATCAATATGCCTGCTATGAAGCATCCAATTTCAACACCCAGTCCAAGCATAAATGAAACATGTGACATTATAAGACATAAAGATATGGATCCAAGGAGAAAGAGTTCATGTTTATTGGACCCTTTAATAGTTTTTAAAATCCGGGAAATAGGTAAATTTGCAACTATAAGACTAAATATGCAAAATAGTACCATGGAAAATAGCAAGTGTCCTGCTGTCAATATAACTTCAATATCAGTTTTGGAAAAAGCATGCAGTGAAGCCTATAAATAATAATTATAATTAGTTACTATATGGTATTATATGTGATCTTTGCTAGGAAAATCGCCCTCCGGCATTTTCCGATCGGGCTAATTCGGAACATTTTAAACCAACATACCGGTTCTTATTTACATGTAGGGATTGGAACCGCCTACAATTTTTCTTAATTGTTTAATCGTTTAATTTGGCCGGCATTAAAATAATTCCAGCTCACGACCAACATAATTCCGCCCGGAACTATGGACCAATTTTTAAGCGGTTAAACGGTTCCAATCCCTAAATTTACATGTAAATCATTTTTTGCCCTTATTGATTCAATAGCTTATCGAATGAACGTTTGAATCCATAAAGGCAAAAATAATTTACATGTAAATAAGTACAGGTATATTGGTTTGAATTTGTCCAAATTAGCCAGATCGGAAAATGTCGAAGGGTGGGTGATATTCCTAGCAAAGATCCCATATTCATTCAATAATTACGTTAACTGCCTACCAGCAATACCCCAAATAAAATATCTTGTACTATAAGTAAACCGTGTAATGACTCAAGTTCTGTGCAATTTAATCTTTTCACAATAGCTGTACTTGAAAGTGACACACATGCACCTACAAAAATCGCCTCATTTGTCTTAGCACCTATAACAAATCCTATAAAAACCGATAGACTAAGGATTAAGGTGAAGATCATAGTAACACTGCCTAGTGCAAATTGCCATATTGACTTAAGCCTATTAAACGAAAATTCCAATCCTAACATAAATACAATAAAAATAACACCAAATTGCGAAAGCGTTTCTGTTTGAATAAGTTCCTATAGTCCAAATTATAAAGTTAAATTAATGAATGCAAATTATGCAAATATGATTATTACACTAGTAAATTATTTAAACACCTGAGTCATATTGAATCCAACAGGACCGAGAACACAACCAGCAACTATATAGCCCAAAAATGCTATATTATAACGTAGGGTTAATAAGTTGGCGCCGATGTTTATAAAATCAAACAGTCGATTCATGTCAGCCTATTTGTTCAGTGTATTGTAAATATTATTACTAACGTCTACTAATTTACCTGGCAACCCAAAGCTATTAAATATCCAACCAATGACAAAGGCAACAACAAGTATGAAAATTAGATCGTGCACAAGCCTCCCGTCTAAAATAAAATATAGTCAACTAAGCTAAAATAATTTGTAACAGATTTTAAAAAGCAATAATTTAAATTTCACCTTCATAGAACATAGACAAATCATTTGGTCTCATAAGAATGTATTCGTTATTGTCACGATCAACTAGCATCATTACTTTGTTAGAACTGTGACGGCGCGATTCTTCACTTTGAGATAATTCAAGACTTTGTTTTTTTCCATCTTCATCATCTTCTAATTTGACAACCATATCAAGAGACCCATGCATCTTAGAAGCATCTGTGAACTTATGATTATGCATGTTCTTCTCCAAACGATCTGCTTCAACGCCTACTTCTTGCAGAAAGTTATTAACTAGGTCGGAAGCCATATTTTCGCGATGAGGATCATGTTCATAGTTATCATCATCCGTTATCACTTTGTGCTCATGATCACCTTCATTTACATTTTGTTTCCACACTTTCTGCAGAAAATCCGTGCCATTAGTTTTCAGAGTATTATAATAAAATTTTGATATAAGCTGTAAGGTTTCTCCATGGAAAGAATTTGACATGTCAATCGAATAATTATCATCAATTAGTTTGCCAAAAATGTTGATTAATCCAAAAGTCAAATTTTTGAACGCCTCTGTTTGTAAGAGTTCATTATTTATCGAGTCTATTTCAGCCTTTTTTTCAAGTTCGACAATTGTGCTGCTTTCTTTAATGGCATTCCATTCTGTTTTTCTTAAAAGTAAGTAACGTTGATATTTATTCATACAATCCAATGAAAAACAACTCGGCATGGACTCTGAAACCTTAGAAATTTTCGGTCATAGGCAAAGTTTAAAAATTATAGAAGTAAAAGAATCACTTGTGTTTGCTTACTAACCTCCTGCGCATTCTCCACAGATGTTGAAAAAATAAGCCAGTATAAGAATAAAATAGCACACGTCGTAATTATTGAATGCATTGCCTCAAGTAAAAAAGCGATAGTACCAATTTTTATATGCATTAGTAGTCACCCGATTTGGTCAGTATATGAAAATCGCACTCCAGGTTCATGGGCAGACATTCGTTTGATTGGCTGATGTAGATCAATTGCCTGGGTAACTTATTTATACGCTTTAGAGTACTTTTTGAGAATGTAACGTTTCACTAATAAAAAATCGTTGTAAAAGCCATTCTTAGCTTTAGCGTTAGACAAATATTAATATTAACTGTACAAAAGAATCAAAAAAGAATCATACACCTGACTTACTTAGAAGACAAAAATGTTATTCACTAGTAGTATTACAGATTACTATATACAAAAAAAAATCAAACCAACTGAAGGTTGGTAACTGAAAATGTTATTGCAAAAGAACACATTAACGAAACTTTACCTTCTTGTCTCAAAATAGGCAATACGATTTGTTTGAGTTGCTACAATGGAATTGTAATAAAAAGCTCAGTTAAATTTTGGAAACATGTTTTAACTAAAGAGAAACAACTTGAAACTGAAGAGCCTGAAGATAAAAATATCAATAATCTGGAGCAATTTGAGTTTATAATTCTAATTTTTTGTCTTTTTCTAAAACAATAGGGATAATAACAAAACTTTTATATAAATGTAAAAATAAAGAAAAAAAGTTGACAATATATTTATTTAATGAATTACAAGTAACTATAAAAGAAAAAGACAAGGTTAAAATTGTTTTGATATTATTTGTCTTATTTAATTCATAATCAAAAAATAAAAATACACAAATTGAAGAAAAAAAATAGTTTTTATTTGTGTGCTATTTTCTTTGTAAAATAAAAAATAAATTTGTAAATAATGTTAGAAAAAATTTGATATTATATTTAGATTTAACTAGTGTTTTTGATAGTACTATCAATATACTGTACTTGCAAATTTAGATATAATAGTTATGTCTTATTTAATTATATAGTTTAAGTCTAATATAGCCAAAAAATATATCAAAATTGGTAATTTTTTTTTTTTTTTTTTTTAACGTTTACCCTCTTGGGAGCTAGGATTTTTATTCAGGTATATATAGCGAAGGGTTCTCT